TTTTTTCATGTTGCTCTTATGCCTTGTACAGGTAATGTTGGCAAATCCTTCCTGATCTTTTCACCGCCAGAAAGGCAGGATAGAAAGGCAGACAGGGGATGGAGGGAGAGCAAGAGGGTTAACATAGTTTATTCATTTATTTACTCACCAAACTAATATTTATTTTTTGTCATGTGACAGGCACCAAGGTTGGTTCTGGGAATTTGAAGATGAATGAGTTACCACCCCTGCCTTCAAGGTGTTTCAGTCTAGCAGGGAGAACGATGTTTAAACCAGTAATTAAGCTTGATAAGGCAATTATTTTAATGGTGAGCCATAGCTCTGAACAGAAGCACAGATGTGGAGACACAAGCTCATCCTTTCATCGAGTTCCCTAATAAAGAGCAATATGCTTAACTCTGTTGATCTCTAGCTTCTTCATTAAGATGGGTGGGAGAGCATCTTCTCACTCGCAGACAGTGCGTGTAAAGTGCCCAGGAGAGTGCTTCACACATAGTGGGCATTCAGCAAATGATAGAGGGTGGATGTGCTACAGGGGCTATGAAGGACTCAAGGGCAGTAGGACCACAGGATGGGTCCTGAAGTCCACGTCAGATACGCAAGAAAGGCCCTCTTGCACGCCACAAGAACACTAGGTACTAGGATTAGCGAGGAGTTGCCACTGACGAGTTGGTCTCTATTTCCCAACTTGCCTTCACTAGGTGGGACATTTCCTTTAAGATTGCAAAGGGAGGCCAGTGCGATGGCTCACACCTGTAATCCCTGCACTTTTGGAGACCGAGGTGGGCGGATCACTTGAGGTCAGGAGTTCGAGACCAGCCTGGCCACATGGTGAAACCCCGTCTCTACTAAAAATACAAAAATTGGCTGGGTGTGATGGTGCATGCCTGTAGTCCTAGCTACTCAGGAGGCTGAGGCAGGAGAATCGCTTGAACCCAGGAGGTGGAGGTTGCAGTGAGCCGAGATCGCACCACTGCACTCCAGCCTGGGTGACAGAGCCCTGTTACCTGCACTGGACCCCACTCTCTCTCCCTTGTCCTCCCCAGCTTCTGCCTCCTGCTCTCACCTACTGCTCTGATGACCAGCCAGGGCAGACCTGGAGGCCAAGGTCAGTGGTTTGTTGGGACAAGGGCTGGGCCCCAAAAGGTCCCACAAAAATTAGCCAGGTGTGGCAGCATGCCTGTAGTCCCAGCTATTCAAGAGGCTGAGGCAGGAGAATAGCTTGAACCCGGGAGGTGGATGTTGAAGTGAGTCGAGATCTACTGCACTCCAGCCTAGGTGACGGAGTAAGACTCTGTCTCCAAAAAAAAAAAAAAAAAAAAAAAAAAAAAAGCA